CAGGTTCATTCTGCCATCAACAATATGGTCAGCAGCTTCTTAGATTACCCTCAGTGCCCCCTGTCCCTGGTGTTCACACCCTTGATTAATCCCTTCCCTGTAAACGAAGACCTGGCCCACAGGGAAGCATATGGCAGAAGCAATGACATAAGTGTACAAAAGCTGCAGCTCACGGGCTCTGACTCCCTTTGATCACTGGAAATATTAAGGAATATATTTATTCTGCCCGAATTTTCTTTTTTTCCTTTCTTTCTTTTTTTGGTACTGGGGTTTGAACTCAGGGTCTACACCTTGAGCCACTCCACCAGCCATTTTTTGTGGTGTGATGGGTTTTTTTCAAGACAGGGTTTTGCAAACTATTTTGCCCAAGCTGGCTTCGAACCTCAATCCTCCTGATCTCTGCCTTCTGAGTAGCTAGGATTACAGGTGTGAGCCACCAGCACCCAGCTCCAAATTTTCATTTTTTTTAAAGAAGAACAAAATCTGTGATTACAAAATCCAATTGTACATATGAGGAGTAAAACCCCATTAGCAAGAGATATGAGGGTTAGGGATATAACTCAGAGTGCTTGCCTAGCATGTATATAGTAGTCCTGGGTTCAAACTCTAGTATCACAAAAATAAAAAACAGGATGGGCTTAGTGGTTCATACTTGTAATTCCAGCCTTTAGGATACAAAAGTGGGGGATTTTGAGTTTGAGGCCAGCCCTGGCTAAGTAATGACTCTCTTTCAAAAAAAACAAAAACAAAAACCTGGGCATCATGCCTGTCATCCTAGCTATTCAGGAGTCAGAGATCAGGAGAATCAGGGTTCAAAGCCAGCCCAGGCAAATAGTTCTCAAGACTCTATCTTGAAAAAAACCCATCACAAAAAAGGGGTTGGCTGAGTGGCTCAATCAGTAAAAGCACCTGCCTAGTAAGCATGAGGCCCTGAGTTCAAACCCCAGTGCCACAAAAAAAAAAGTTGTTTCCTAAGAAACAAAATTTACCAAAATTCAGATTTTAGCTTGTTTTATTGAAGACATCTTGATACTAGACAAATATCAGATTGCAGACCTAACTGGCTTCAGCAGGCTGAGCTCCCCAACTGTGTGACTCCGGGTACAGCCATTATACTGGGTGACAGTCCAGAGGCTTCAGAAGCCAGGGTAGATGAGGAAGCAACCATGTGAAGAAAAAAACAAACGGTTTAGAAATTTAGTTCCTGCCAAATTTGTGAAGCAGCAACTAATTATCTGTCCAGATACTAATAAGGAAGCCTAGATTTTTTTTTTTTTTAAAGACAGATCTCCATAGCTGGGCACTGGTGGTTCACATCTGTAAGTCCTAGCTACTTGGGAGGATCAAGGTTCAAGGCTATCTCAGGCAAACAGCTTGTGAGACCCCATCTCCAAAATTACCAGAGCAAGAAGGGTGCTAGTGGCTCATGCCTGTAATCCTAGTTACTTAGGAATCAGAGAGCAGGAGGATCTTGGTTTGAACCCAGCCCCAGGCAAATAGTTCTCAAAACCCCATCTTGAAAAAAACCCATCACGAAAAGTGCTGGTGGAGTGCCTCAAAAAAAAAAAAAAAAAACAAAAATTACCAGAGCAAAATGGACTGGATGTCTGGCTCAAGCAGTAAAGCACCTGCTTTGCAAGTGTGAAGCCCTAAGTTCAAACCCCAGTCCCACCAAAAAAAAAAAAAAAAGTATTTTCATATGTAGCCCAGGCTGGCCTAGAACTCGAAATCCTCCTGCCTCACTCAGCCTCCTGTGTGCTAGGATTACAGAAGTGCACTACCATGCCCAGGGACACCTAAATCTTAAAACCAAAAAGGGGCTGGGTGCTGGTGGCTCATGTCTGTAATCCTAGCTACTCAAGAGGCAGAGATCAGGAGAATCAAGGTTTGAAGCCAGCCTGGGCAAGTAAGTTCAAGAGACCCTATCTCAAAAAAACCCTAACACAAAAAGGCTGGTGGAGTGACTCAGATGTAGGCCGAATTCAAGCCCCAATACCACAGGAAAAAAAAAAACAAAAACAAAGGACCCAAAGTTCAACTTGTTTCCAGAATGTTAAAATATTATTCCTGTTTTATAGATAAGACAGTGAAAGATCCCAGAGCATCTTGTCACTCCAGTGAGCAGTGAAAGTAGGGAGCACAGCCCAGGAGTCAACATAGAACGAGAGTAGAGTTCAAGGGCTAGGAGCAGGAACAGATTTTCTCTCCACAATCCAAGCTCAAAATGCTGCCCTCAAATACCCTTTGATGCCTCCACCCATGGATCTAGGGCTGAAGACATCTGGTGTCAGCATAGGCATCCAGAGACCTAAGATATGACTGACTCAGATTAGAAGTTCACATGGCACTTCCTCTCTCAGAGGTTAGAGAACAAGACAGTAAAGGGAAGCCAGGCCAAAATGTCTTGGTGTACACAATGCTTAGTGAGCTGAGAGGGCAATAAGGAAGTACTAAGGAGTAAACAGGAGTGACAAAGCACAGAGAGAATAAAGATAGGTGAAGGAAACAGCCAAGAGGAAAATAAAGGTGAGGTCTACGCAGTTGTTAGACTGCTCTGAAGCTGGGTTTGAAGGTGAAGGGAGGTCCAGGAGGCCAGGCACTTCCTCGGGTCCTCTACTGGATCCAGATCAAGGAGCACCTGACCCCTCAAACAAACCCACTACCTCAGGTGACATGAGTCTGTGCCCACCACTCCAGTGGTAGGACAGAAGCAGCCATGTCTCACCTCTGCGGACTGGGACAGAGCCTTCAAAGTGCAGTCAATGAATAAATGAGTTTGGAAAAATGAGTCCCTAGTCTCTTTCCCAGGCACTTATTTCTCACATCATACTAATAACTTCTGGATATAAATGGCTCTCTGGTTCACAAATTGCTTTCACATACATTTAATGCATTTTATCTTTATAACAACTCTGTGGGAAACCCAAGGCTGATATTAGCCTGGCTTTGCAGATAATTATTATCCCCATTTTACTGATGAGAAAATTGAGGCTTGGAGAAGTTAATAACTTGCTTAAGGCCATCACCTGGGAAGGACAGAATCCAGTGTTCCTTCCCAGGTTGCCCTCTTGCCATCATCTCACATTGCTTGAGACTTGCCAGCAGAGGCTAGACAGCAATAACAACATTATTTCCAACAGTGTTAATAAGATTACAGCTGTACTCACACCAAACACATTCAAATTCATATACACTTTGAGTCACAAATTCTCTACAAGGCATGAAGGGTAATGGAGCTTGATCACTTCCTATCAGGGCTCTGTTCTGAAAGCTTCAATGGAGTGCAAGAACCCCTTTTAGAAGCTCAGGTAACAGTCACATCATGGGACAAGGCTGAAGAGAGTGAGGGCCAGACAAGCTGAGCTGGAAGACAGAAAGTGGGCAGAAGAGCCTCTGACTCTGTGTATCTGGGCTTCTAACCAGGGAAAGACAATACAGTGGAGGAGGACAGTCCAGAAGGGAATGATTGTGAAGGAAGATTGTTTAAGACAAGAGAAACAAGAAGAAAAGCAATCAGTACTGAAAAGCACTGGTAGTCCTGTTCTCTCCACAAACCAACAAAACATCTCCCCATGTCTAGAGAGCTGACAGCCAACTAGCAGGACACTTGGCCCTTCCTCAGGCTGAGAGAGAGAGAGGACATGCAAGTCACACCTGTGACTTTGTAGCCTGGAAGGCATAGGGTGGAGGGCCAGGATAGGCAGGTATATCAGCTTTGGAACTGTGCCATCAATCTTAACTGTGATCTTGGGCAGGGTATTTTTAATTTTTCTGAATCCCATTTTCCTTATCTGTAAAACAGAGATATTAAAAGTACTTACTTCACAGAGCTGTGAACATTAAGTCAGTGTTTGACATGGAGCCAGGCACTAGTCAGCACACAGAAATGTTATTAATTATTCGTTGTTATAAGCCTGGGGAATATAGATCACAGGGACAAATGTAAGTCGCTGTAACTTGCCCCTACAGCATCCTGTGTAGTCTGCTTTTTCTGCTAGCTTTCAGCAATCAGGTTCTAGACCAGGGTAGATCAACAGCCCCAGGTGACCCTCACTCTGCTGCTCTGGGTGGACGGCAGTGACCGTGCCTGAGCCTAGGAGTACAGCTGCCCATGGGGTGAGACAACAGGTGCCTTCTTCCTTGTTTTTGGTGTCCTGCCTAATTTCCCATGCGCAGCCTGTGGACTTGTGCTTTGCCTGGACCTTATATAAGCCTGGCTGGGAGCCATGGTGATCACCAGGGCTGGAAATGACTTCCAGGAGTGAGTCAGCCGCCTCCGGCAGAAAACAAGGAGGCTTGGGACCTGCAGAACAAATCTTCCTCTCCTGCCTCAGCCATGGCGTGCCTAGTGCCTAGTGCGCCCTTCCTGTGCGGAGAGGAGAACATTTCACCTTCCTGTGACCATTAGCCCGGGGCCGGCTTGAGCTCGTGCTCTTCGGCCTCTTCCGGCCGCGAACGATCAGCCCCAGGGCGGACTCTGGATGGCCCCCTGCCTTCCTCCCCAGTACCAGGAGCCGGGTCCCACTCAGAAAGCACATGCTGTCCACGTCCCGGTAGCCGCTGCCCTGGGCTCTCACACACCACGAGCCTCTAAGTCGTCTTCAGAGGCCAGGCGACCATTCTCAGCCCCTCTGTTCCTATCAGAAGAGCTCCGAGGACGCAAAATGGCCCCAAATTAACCTACCAAGGGGATCAAACTATGTCCCAAAGGGGGCGATGTGAAAACCACACAGTCACAATCTATCTGAACTGGAAATAAAAAAAAAAAAAAGACGTATTAAAAAAAAAAAAATCCCAGGGAACTAGCGGCCTGCCAGCGAACGCGGCACACAACTGAGTCAACCAGGGATAGAAAAGCTAACCCTGAAGAGGCACGGGAGCCAAGACCGCGCATGCGTCTGAGTACACAGGTGCGCATGCGTCAAAGGAAGGCGCGCTTTTCCCAGGGCGTCAACAGCTCGCGCATGCGCCCCGAGGAGTCCTGATTGCGCAGGCGCTGCGCCCGGCAGCATGGCGGCCGTGTTGCTGCTGCTACGCGCCCTTCGCCCGAGTCCGGGACCAGGTCCCGGCCGACTGTGGGGCGCAGGCTCGGGCCGAGGCCCGGGCTTCTCCGCCGAGGCTGTGAGCTGGCGGCCATATGTGGTCCGCAGGCCTGCGGTGGGTCTCTCCGGACCTGGAGGCCGAGCCCTGCAGGTAACCCGCGCGCAGCCCCTGAGCTGGCGGTAGTCGCGGTACGGCTCGGCATCGCCCGGTGCGGGCCGGCAGCAGGCCTTGGGATGTCGGAGGAGGGCCGGCGTGGGCGCTGGCTGGGGGAGTGGCTGACTTCGCGTGGGTGTTCCCTGTCCCCCACATGGGTGTGGACGCGTTGTTTCGGTTCCGCCCGAATTCACCCAGGAGGGGTCTCACCAGTTATTTTACAACTGACCCAAGTCGGCCAGTTCCATCCGGAGGGATTCCAGTAGTTTCCGTATGATAGTTGGTGATTGCTCAGTGGGCTGTCGTAAGCCGTTTTGCACGAGCAAAATTCTGTGTAGCTACTTCTCAGCGAAGCTTTTATCCATAGACAGTCACTGAGCTCCCCCGGGAATGCTGTGGTCTGCGAGGCGAGCATCTCAGCCAGAAAGCAGACATTTTGATGTTCCTCCTTTAAAACTTGAAAAGATGCTCAGACTACTCACATTTCAGGACAATGTAAACGTTACAAATAAATCCATAGTTGCGCTTTTAAAAAAGCTAGGCATGGTGGTACACCGCTGTAAACTCAGCACGCGTGAGGCTGAGGCAGGATCTCAAATTAGAGGTCAGCTTGGGCTACACAGCCAGACCTTCTCTTCAAAAAAATAGTATATTTATTTTTTAAACTTACATTGCTTGGTGTGACACTTAATCTTGTGATTTTGGGTAATGTTTTTCCCCAGCTTAAGAGCGCAACAGTCACATTTTAGTTGTAAGTTTTGTTGTTTGCGGTACTGGGGTTGAACACAGGGCCTACACCAGCCCTTTTTTGTGATGGATGGAGTCTTGCAAACCATTTGCTTATGCTGGCTTGGAACTGCCATCCGCCTGATCTCTGCCTCTTGAGTACCTAGGATTACAGGTGTGAGCTACTGGTGCCCTGCTAATTGTTTTTGGTGGTACTGGAGTTTGAACTCAGGATCTTCCACTTGCTAGACAGGTAGTTTACCATTTGAGCCAGTCTGCCAGCTCTTTTTATTATTTTTTTAATCTATAGATTTCTTTCCTTTGAGGCTGGATCTCCCCATGTTGGTCTGGCTGGCTTAAAACTTGGACATTCCTGCTTTAGCCTCCCAAGTATCTGGGATTACATCTGGCGCGTGGTGCGTGCGTGCGTGCGTGCGTGCGTGCGTGCGTGCGTGTGTGTTTTCTTTCTGCTGTGCTGGCCATCAAACCCTGGGCCTTGCACATACTAGACACTCTACACTGAGCTACGCTGCCAGTCATAGTTAATAACCCCCCAATATTTATGTTTTACCAAAAATGTGTAAGCACAATTTAAGTTAACATGTATTTTAATGAATCTGACCTGAGGCCAAGTATAAATTAATGCCGTTTTTTTTTTTTTCCCTTGATGCTGGGGTATCAAACCCAGGGCATTGTACATGCTAGGCAAGTACTCTATCCTATTTATTTATTTATGTATTTGTTTAGTTTAGTTAGTTAGTTAGTTATGAAGCATAATCTCACTGTGTAGCCCATGCTGGCCTCAAACTCATGATCCTCCCTCATTGTGTGCCACCACCACACCCAACCCAGGCACTTTTTTTCCTTTAACTTTTTAGTTCTGTTTCAAAAGAAAATAGTTTATTTTCCTTAGTTTGACCCTGGGTGTGTGTTTGTTCTATCCTTTTTTTTTTTTTTTCCCTTGTGATGCTGGGGATTAAACCCAGGACCTCTTACATGCTAGTTAAGTGCACTACCCTTGAGCCATCCTCCAAGCCCCTTTGTGTGTGTTCTATGAAAATCAAGGCTGAAGCAGAAAATTCACACATACTTGAAGCAGCTTATTTTGCAGAGACTGTTACACTAATAAGCTAAAGCAACCTTAGGTTAAGCTAGCACTGACTTTGAGGAATGGCAGTTTTCTGCTTTATCTACCACACTGTAATCATTTACTGGGCCCAGTCCACACTTTGCTGCCCTCACTGAGCCAAGAATGGCAGTGTCAATCAAATGGGCAGAAGATTGTGTGGACTAGATACTGCATGTAATGTGCACCTTAGCAAAGAGCACTGAACAAGACATCTTTTTTTGGCGGGGAGAGGAGGGAGTTTGGATTAAGGATATCACACAGGCACTGTACCACTTGAGCCATGCCCTGTCCCTTATATTTTTTGGTGGTTCTAGGGTTTGAATTCAGGATATCATGCTTGATCCACACTTCCAGTCCATTCTGCTCTAGTTATTTTTAGAGATGGGGTTTTGTGAACTGTTTTCCTGGGCTGGCCTTGAACTGTGATCCTCCCTATCTGTGACTCCTAAGTAGCTAGGATTACAGGTGTGAGACAGCTGCATCTGCCTCCTTTTTTTGATACAGTTATTTTTCAGATAGGGTCTTGCCTTTTTGGCCTGGGACTGGCCTCAGACATCAGTCCTACCTACAGCTCATCCGTCCAGGACTACAAGTGTGCACCACCTTGCCCAGCTTATTGAGATGGCTAACTGTATGTGGTACTGGGGTTTGAACTCAGGGACTTATACTTGCTAGTGTTGGAATTGATGACCCTCTGGTGCTGAAAACAGACACACAAGAGACAGAAAATCTTGACAAGTCAATTTTCTCTTGATCAAGAGGGTTCAAGGACGTGCTCACTCCAGCTAAGCAAACACGCAAGCACAAAATGGCTGACAGCGCTCTTCCTTATATCCCTGATACACTTGTACCTTCCCCTCACCTGGGATTTGCCCAGGTCAAAGGTTCACAGTCTCCATATTGTCTAAAAGGCTTCGGGGATAGGTTAGGGCATACAGTTTAGCAGGCAATGGAGATGTACAGGAATCCAGAAGAAGAAGCAAGGACCCTTTAAACATGCAAGTCACCTAAGATGGCAACCTGAGGAATTTTTAAGTAATCTAAGAGGGTAACATATACTTTGATAGAAAAGATCATTTTTCTTACACTAGGCAGGTGCTCTGCCACTTGAGCCACTCTTTAACAGCTCTCACTAACTTTTGCCCAGACTAGCCTCAAATTATGATCTTCCCCAGGAGATGCCTTTTTTTTTTCTCAGTACTGGGGTTTGAACTCAGGGCCTACACCTTGGGCCACTCCACCAGCCCTTTTTGTGAAGTGTTTTTTCTTTTTTTTGTGGTACTGGGGCTTGAACTCAGGGCCTACACCTGAACCACTCCACCAGCCCTTTTTGTGTTAGGTATTTTCGAGATTGGGTCTCACCCAGGCTGGCTTTGAACTGTGGTCCTCCTGATCTCTGCCTCCTGAGTATCTGGTATTTTACAGGCATGAGCCACCGGTGCCCAGCTACTGCTATGGTTTTTAGTCTGCATTGCTTTAGTATGCTGCAGTTTTGATGTGACCCTTAGTCTTTTTTTGTTTTTCAGAATTTCCAATTGCGAATGCTAACCTCTACTTTTGAAGGAATCAGAGGATTGTTATTGAAACAGCATCTAGTTGAAAACCCACTCGGCCTCTGGCAACTTTTAGGTGTGTATCTATTGAAACATAGGCGACAAGCAGAGATTATAGCATTTGTGAATATATGGTTAGACCCTGTGAATCCATGTTTCTCCAGTGATGGACTGCAGATATCATGGTGGTCCCATAAGATTATAATGGAAGTGAGGGTTGTAGTATACACTTGTAATCCTATCACTTGGGAGGGTAATACAGGAGGATCACAAGTTCAAGACCAGTCTGGGCTGCATAGCGAGACCCTGTCTCATGAAACAAAACAAAACAAAAATGCTGTAATGGCGTTGAAATGCCTGGTGACAGCAGATGTATTACAGAGCCTGTGATATTTAGTATAGTAGCTTAGCAGTATTAGGCTGTACCATATGATACAGGTGTACAACAGGCTATACCATCTATATTTCCAAGTATGCTTTGATGTTAGCGTAATGAAAGCTAAGACTCTATCTTCATTGTCAAGTGATGTGATCGTATTAGGTTACTGTTGCTATTTTGACATTGACCAAAAAATTAAGAATAGCCTTAAAAGGACCTTTGGCTTCTTTTTATTTATTTGTTTGTTTGTTTGTTTGTGGTACTCAGGGCCTTCACCTTAAGCCACTCCACCAACCTTATTTTTGTGAAGGGTATCATGAACTATTTGCCCAGGCTGGCTTTGAACCTTGATCCTCCTGATCTGCTTCCTGAGTAGCTAGGATTACAGGTGTGAACCACCAGCGCCCAGCTTGCTTATTTATTTATTTATTTATTTATTTATTTATTTATTTATTTATTTATTTATTTATTTATTTTAGTGGTACTGGGGTTTGAACTCGAGGCCTACACCTTAAGCCACTCCACCAGCCCTTTTTTGTGAAGGTTTTTTCGAGATAAGGTCTTGTACACTGTTTACCTAGGCTGGCTTCTAACCACGATCCTCCTGATCTCTGCCTCCTAAATAGCTATGATTACAGGCATGAGCCACCGGTGCTTGGCTGAGTTGTCTTTTTATTTGTTCAGGTATTTATTTTTTGGTGTTCTTTGTAGCACTAATTGGACCACTTGGAAAAGCTTCTTAAATACCCTATGTATAATTTGCCTCTCTTGACCTACAGCTAGAGGACCTTCAGAACTGACGCCTATAACTTCACTCCCCTTTTGCCCAAGTGGAACAGGAAAAAGTGAACTATTTGAACTCCTGATTTACATGGAGCAGCCTGATGCCTACCCTTAGAGAGAGCCTGGCCTGCTGAGCGGCAGTGAGTTGGCCCCTGGCTCATCTGCTCTCAGAGTTTGACTTGAATCCACTCATGGGTACAGTGTCTCTGAGAGAAGCAGCACACATATCAGCCCTCCAAACAGATGATGTTAGGTTCAGGTGCCAGTCAGAGTAGTTTTCTTTGTGAGTCTTTGAATGTCTTTGTGAAGACAAATACAGTTGAGGTCATGGTTGTGAGATTTCCCCCATCTGTTGAGCTCTTGGGCGAGACCAAGCTTTTGTGTGAAGTGTTGGGCCAGCCTGTCTGGGCAGTGGCAGTTAGATTGCTGCTGTTGGCACATGTGCCAAAATCACTTGTATTGTTCATTTAAATTCATTTTAATGAACTTTGTATGTTGAAGGATTGTCCTCCAACAAATTTATTACATTTCTCAAACTTATGACTATAACAAATTTTTTGTGTGTGCTGGGGATTCAGCCCTATTTTTTTTTTTTATTCATATGTGCATACAAGGCTTGGTTCATTTCTCCCCCCTGCCCCCACCCCCTCCCTTACCACCCTGCCCGCCCCTCTCTTACCCCCCCCCCAATACCAGGCAAGAACTATTGGCCCTTATTTCTAATTTTTGTCTGTAGAGAGAGTATAAAGCAATAATAGGAGGAACAAGGGTTTTTGCTGTTGAGATAAGGAATAGCTTTATACAGGGCATTGACTCACATTGATTTTCCTCGTGCGTGGGTGTTTACCGTTCTAGTTAATTATAATCTTGAACTAACCTTTTCTCCTAGTACTGTTCCTCCTTTTTCCTATTGGCCCAGTTGCTTTTAAGGTATCTGCTGCTTTAAGTTCTCTGTGTTGACGGGCAACACCATGCTAGCTAATTTTTAGGTTGTCTTACTATCCTCACCCTCCCTTGTGGTGCCTCAGCTTTATCATGTGCTCATAGTTCCAGTCCCCTTGTTGTGTTTACCTTGATCTTTTTAAAAAAAAATGGGGGTCCCCACATTGAGGGAGAACTATCGATTTTTTGGGTCTTCTTGGGCCAGCTAAACCTAAACTCACAGAAATTGATGTTCTCCAATTCCATACCATACAGCGAATTGGTAAATTTCGTTCTTCTTTGTGGCTGCATGAGAATTCCAATGGTGTATAGAATACACTTTTCTTAATCTATTCCGTCGGTGTGTGGCATCCTTGGCTGTTTCCCATAACTTGGCTATGTGAATAGTGCCGCAATAAACATGGTGCTGCGAGGTTGCCTCTGGAGTTAAACAGTCCTTTTGGGTATATGCCCCAAGGTGGTATTACTGGATCACCTATGGTAGAATCGATGTCTAGCTTTTTTAAGTAGGCCTCCAAATTTTTTTCCAGAGTGGTTGTACTAGTCTACATTCCCACCAACAGTGTAAGAGGGTTCCTTTTTCCCTGCATCCATCAGCCCTATTTTTATGATAGGTTTTTTTTGAGATAGGATCTTGTGAACTAGTTGCTCAGGCTGGCTTTGAACCTTGATCCTCCTGATCTTTGCCTCCTGAGTAGCTATGATTACAGGCATGAGCCACCGGCACCCAGCCTTTTTTGGTTTTTTTGAGGCATGGTCTTGCTATATAGCCAGGCTGTCTTGAAACTCCTACCTCAGCCTCCCAAGTGCTGGGATTACAGGCAGCTAGCCAGTTTAAATAGCAAAGATATTTAATGGCTTCCTAAGTTCAAATAATTCATAATAATTCTATAATTTGTGGACAGAATCCAATGCCACCTTTCTGCAGACTTGCAGCTCCCGGGATAACGGTTTCCTATGATTGTGCTGTGAGTCAGTTCCTTGAGGGTCTCCCTTGCCATTGCCAACTTTGGTTGTTGACCTCTTTCCCTATGTATTGTAGGTGGACCTTACTATTTCAAAACTTCAAAGATGAAGCAGAAGAATAAAGACAGTGATAAACCCAAGGGGAAGGCTACTGAAGACGACGAAGGTACACCTATCTGCTCCTCTGAAGTAATAGTTACCTTCTTGGGGGTGGGAGAAAGTCTTACTTTTGTTCTTTCCTCAGAGCAAAGTGAGGTTAGTCCTGAAGGCAGGGCCCAGGCACCTGTGCTTGCTATCTCTGTGTACAACTGCCCCATGTTTGTCTCCATGGGATTGCTGGATCCTGTGCTGTTCTTTCAGAGTAGTTTCTGTGCACTTTGAATTCAGTAATGCCAAAGCCAGGCTACCTTTCTGTCTCTGCACAGATCTACCCCAAGTTCTGGGGGTAGACCAGAATGCCTTGGCTGTCTTTAAGATATTGGGGTGTCACGAAAGAGAGACAACACAACTCAGAAGTCAACAGGCAAGACAAAATTTGCTTCTGCAGAAGGGTGCACCACAAAGAGCAAGCACACCCTGTGGGGAGTCTGCTGGGGTTTATCTCTAACCCAGTGCTGCCCCTCCCCTGAATTAGGCAGGTTTGGGGTTCATAGTTTATGTAATTGGTTAATTGGAAAGAGGGCATGGAAGGGAGAAGGTCTTTGAAGACAAGTTTCAAAGCTCACCTGGGCCTCTAGTGGAATTTTGTCCTGCTGAGGATAACAACCCTTTGTTCTTAATAGAAACTTTTATCACCTTAAGCAAAGTCCATGAAGTAAGCATATGGGAAGCGAGTTAGTGAGACAAACATTTGTAACAGTGGTTACTGATTAAATCCTTTGACCGAAAAGACCCAACTTCAGTTGATTCTCACAGCTGAACCCAGCCCTGTACACATGGGGCAGTAAGTGGGGCAGGCTATCTGGAGGAAGCTCCATTGTCTGCCAGATAACCCCCTGCCCTTGGTCATGAGCTCACTCTTCACTGTGGATCTAAGAGGGTCCTGAGTATCCTAAGCCTCACTTCTCCAGAATTAGGACTGAACAGTGTAAAAGGTGAGGGAAATTGAACTGAGTCTGTACGGACTCAACATTGTTTCTGAGATCTCTGAGACATAGACCCAGTTTGGTTTTGTTTTTGTTTTCTGTTGGCTATTTGGAGCTAATAGTAATAGTGGAAATCGTTAAGTCTTAGCAGTGCTGGGGTGTGCTCAGCACTAAGTGATTTGTGCCCATTGTCTCAATTACCCCTGCTCTCAAAATAGACTAAATTCTAATGCATTAAAGGGTAAGGGGGGATTGTTTTGGTAGTGGCACTGAGGTTTGAACTCTGGGCTTTGCTCTTACAAGGTAGTCCAAGGTAGTCACCCTGCTTCTTGAGCCATGCTGCAGCCATGGATTAAGTTATTAAATTTAAAAAGCAAAACTGATAAAGAATTAGAAGAACACACATAGGAACATAAAGGAGATTTTTTTTTTTTTTTTTTTTTTTTGCCATACTGGGTTTTGAAACTTGGCCTCATGCTGCCTAGGCAGAGCTCAACTTACTGAGCCACCCTACCTCCCCACCACCCACCTCCACCACCCCTCCCCCCCACCCCCTCCTCCCACCCACCACACCCCCCCCACCCCTCACCCCCCCCCCCCCCCCGCGACCCCCCACCCCCCCCTCCCCACACCCCCCCCCCACCACCCCCACCCCACCCCCCCCCCCCCCCCCCGCTTCACCCCCACCACCCCCCCCCCCCCACCCCACCCGGGCCCCCCCCCCCCCCCCCCCCCCCCCCCCCTCCCCCCCCCCCCTACAACAGCCTTACCCCTTTTTTTTGTGATTGGTTCTTCAAGATAGGGTCTTGCCCTATCTCCTTGATCCTCCCGATCTCTGCCTCCTGAGTAGCTAGGATTACAGGCATGAGCCACTGGCACCCAGCTTGTGTTGGGTATTTTTAACATAGGGTCTCCTGAATTACTTGTCCGAGGCTGGCTCTACACCTTGAGCTTGGTGATTCCTACCTTCTGAGTAGCTAGGATTATAGGCAGAGACCACTGGTGCTCAGCATGTATTTCAGATCTTGAAATGAATAGGGCTTTTCTTTCTTTCTTTCTTTCTTTTTTTTTTTTTTTTTTTTTTTTTTGAGAGAGGGTCTCATTTTTGTAGTCCAGAGTGACCTTGAACTCTTTTTTTTTTTTTTTTTTATTGCGATACTGGAGTTTGAACTCAGGGCCACTCCACCAGCCCTATTTTTATGAAGAGTTTTTGAGATAGGGTCTCACAAACTATTTGCCCAGGCTGGCTTTGAAACCATGGTCCTCCTGATCTCTGCATCCTGGGTAGCTAGGATTACAGGCATGAGCCACCAATGCCCGGCAAGGTCTCGAACTCTTGATCCTCCTACCTCAGCCTGAGTGTGGGAAAGGTTTTTCAAAAAAAAAAAGGTGCAAAAGGAAGAGGAGAGATTTCCTGCATACGACAGGTTCTTGCCTTTTGCATTGCATGTCGTGCCATGAGTGCTCAAAACCATGCTTGACTCTTCTGGAAATTCTGATTCCTGGGAGGAATGGTATGGCAGTTTCCTTGTTATACCACATGGTCTGAACTGCAGCTTGCCTTGAGAAAATTGAATAAAGTTTACATCTGTTAAATTTATCTCACAGGATTATTACTTACTTAGTTGAAGAATCTGTGTGTGTGTATTGCTGAGTATGGAACCCAGTGCTTTGCACATGCTTGGAAAATACTATGTTACTGAGTTGCTTCCCCAGCCTAGAACTTTTCTCTTTTTTATTTTTTGATGGGACTGGGGTTTGAATTCAGGGCTCTGCGATCACAAAGTAGACACTCTACCACTTGAGCCACACCTCTAATCCACTTTTCTTTGGTTATTTTGGAGATGGGGTCTCTGGAACAATTTGTCCAGGCTGGCCTTGAACCATAGTTCTCTTTATTTATTTATTTGTTGGTACTGGGGTTTGAACTCAGGGCCTCATGCTTGCTACGTAGACACTCTACAAGTTGAGCCACTTCACCAGTTGAACCACAGTTCTCTTGATCTCAGCCTTCCAGATAGCTAGCATTACAGTTGGGAGCCACCAGTGTCAGGCTCCAGAACCTTTCTTTTCTTTTTTCACAGTCCTAGGGTTTGAACTCAGGGCTTCATGCTTGCTAGGCAGGTGGTCTACCACTTGAGCCATGCCCCCAGCCTATGTTGAGTGTTTTCGAGATAGAGTCTCTGGAACTATTTGCCAGAGCTGGTTTCAAACCTCAGTCATCCTGATCTTTGCCTCCTTTGTAGCTGGATGGCTGGTGGAGTGACTCAAGTGGTAGAGCGCCTGCCTAGCAAGCATGAGGCCCAAGTTCAAACCCCAGTGCCATTTTTGGAACTGTGGCTCAAATGGTAGAGTACCTGCCTAGCAAGTGCAAAGGCCTTGAGTTCAAATCCCAGTACTGCAAAGCTGGGAGGGACTTGCTGAGTAGCTAGCATTATAGGCGTAAGCCACCAGCACTTGGCCATCCAGAACCTTTCTTAAGTATGAGAATGTATGCTGGACTTCCCCTCTTTTTCTGCTGTGGTTGTAAGGGGACTTAATTTATCTATCAGGGTTTCTTTTTTTTTTTTTGGCTTTGCTGGGGATTGAACCCAGGGCCTATGCCTGTGAGGCCTTGCTCCTTGTTCTACCACTATGATTATGTTCTCCGACCCCTGTTTGTTTTTTGTTTCTTGTTTTTTGTTTTTGAAAAAGGGTCTTGCCATTACTTTTGCCCAGACTGGCCTTGAAGTCATGAACCTCCCACCTCAGCCTACTGAGAGCTGGAATTGCAGGCATGAACCCCCATGCCTGGTTTTGCTTGTGAGTTTGGAGGACTGTTGGCCACAGGAAGTAAGCACAGCTCATCTCTTCTCCAGCCCCACCTCCCCCAGGAGTCATCAGGGCCATAAGCAGAGCTGGGTTGAGCCTGTTCATAAGAAGATGCTTTTGCCTGTTGAATGAAAGGACAGTGCTGAATGTAGCTCATAATCAGCTCTGCCAGGCTGTGCAGTGGTCATGGCTGTAACTCAGCTACCCAAGGAGGAAAGCTGGGAGGATTGCAAGTTCCAGGTCAGCCCCGCTGCATAGTAAGACCTTATCTTGGGAAAAAAAGAAAAAAGCTGGGACTCAAGTGGTATAGCAGCTGCCTGACAAGTGTGAGGCCCTGAGTTCAAACTCTGATACTGCCCATAAAGTAAATAAAAAAATTATACATGATTTTCCTTTTATTTATTTATTTGGTGGGACTGGAGTTTGAACTCAGAGCTTCATACTGTAAAGCAGGCAGTCTACTGCTTGAGCCACACACTTCCAGTCCATTTTTCTCTGGTTATTTTGGAGATGGGTCTCACGAACTATTTACCCTTGCTGACTTCGAACCATAACCCTCCTGATCTCAGCCTCTCAAGTAACTAGCATTACAAGTATGAGTCACCAGCTCATGTGGGACCTCTTCAGGTTAATTTTAGAAGTGGGAGGAGGATGGAAATATAATGGAGGGGTTGAATTTGTGCTAAGTACACTATATGCATGTATGGAATTATCACAGTGAAATCCATTTGTATTATTAATATATGATAATTCAAAGATAAAGATAAAATTTTAAAATACAATATCAAACAAAAGCAAAAAAATGAAATGAGCTGTTTTGGAAATTTATGAGAATATGACTCATTGAATGTCAAAATAAATCTGAATATTTCTATTTTGAAAAAAAAAATTTAAAGTTTGAGAAATAGAATTAGTGAACTGAGGAAACCAAATTGTTTTCTCTGGCCCTTGACACAGGTTTCAGGTAGCTTTCACACAGGGTTATACTGATTTGTCCCACAGCACAGTGTGCTCAAGGCCCTATGTCCGAAATGTCTGTGCCTACCTCCTTAGTTCCACATGGGAAGGACATGGAGGCCTGAGGCCTTGGAGGAACCCTAAACTCTCAGCAAGTTGTCCTGTCTGGGAAGGGAAGTCAGCCACTGGCACCTGACTGATTTTGGATTTTTTTTGTGGTGCTGGGGATCAAACCTGGGGCCTCAGGATGGGTGTGGTAATTTGTGCCTATAATCTCAGATACTCAGGAGGCAGAGATTGGATGGGTTGCAGTTTGAGGCTAGCCTAGGCAAAAAGTTACCGAGATCCCATCTCTATCAATAAGCTAGGAGTGGTGGTGCATAACTGTGATTCCAGTTATGTGGGAAGCCATAGATAAGAGGTTGGAAGACTGAAGTGGACACTACAAAAACACGAGACCCTACCTAAAAAATAACTACAGCAAAAAGGAAGGAGAGCATGGCTTAAGCAGGAGAGCACCTAGCAAGCCTAGCAAGCTCAAGGCCCTGAGTTCAACCTCCTGGTACTACCACGAGGACGGGAGAGGAGAGAGAAAGTGTTCAGAATCCTGTCTTAGCAATTTGGGGCAAAAACCCAAACTACTCACCTGACACCCTCCCCAGGTAGAAATGAAACTCACCTTTTGGGTGGGTTTGAGGAAAGCTCGGGCTGAGCATGGACATCCACATTGTCCCCTCTCCAAAGGCCTTCGTGGAGCTGCAGACCACACCTCTCCTGAGGCCCTGTGATGCCCATGAGGGGACAGCTGATCCAGACCCTGTGCTGAGCCCAGTCCAACCTTCAGCCAGCCCCATGCCCTGCTGCCTCAGGGACTGGCTTCCCACTGCTCCCAGGGTCTCAAAAATGGGCCAAGTGTTTTTCCCTCTCCTCAGACCTGAACATAGTATTGCCTGTGTGTTTAGTAGGTTACTGACCAGGGGATGTGATTTGGAACTTACCTGTTGTTTCTGATAAAGTGTTGATATCCAGGAAAATTGTAGAATCCCTAATATCTGTCTGTAGAATAAATAGGTTGCCCTGTGATGTTATTAAATATTCTGATAAGTAACAAACAACTTCTTTTCAAATATCACTTGTAGCTGGGCCTGGAATCTTAGCTATTCAGGAGGTAGAGATGAAGAGGATTGGGGTTTGAAGCCAGCCCAAATAGTTCAAGAGACCCTATCTTGAAAATATCCAACTCAAGAAAGGACTGGTGGAGTGCCTCAAGTGGTAGAGCACCTGCCTGGCAAGTGTGAGGCCCTGAGTTCAAACCCCAGTACCACCAAAAAAATAACATACAAATAAATATCACTTACTCCAGTAAGCTTGGGATAGCTGGTTGTTATTGAGGGAGCAGTGAGTCTGCAGTGGATTAGGAGCGTGCTGTGTCTTGAGTGTTAGGTGACAAGTTCTTCCTGTATGAGTAGTGTGTGTGGGTGCTGGTATTTAGCATTTAGGGAGTTTGGGGTGCCTGCATGCATAGCTTTTCTCAGCCTGCGTACATAGTGGAAGGTCTGCTCAGAAGGCTTTTGATTTTAAAAGTGGTTTCATATCATCTGCAGTGGGAACTGCTCTTCCTTCCCACTGAGGTGACCTAAGACAGTACATGGGTAGCATTTGTCATTGGTAACTGTCGAATGTGGCAGAAATGCTGGATCATGTAGCACACTGGGCCTGCTCCTCCAAAGCTGAGTGTTCCTAAAGAAAGGGTGGGAATAACTGTCCAGGTGTGGGAATCACCTAAGGCCTACTCCACGTGCCTGATTCTCTCTGTGTTCCCTGTTCAGAGGAGAGGAGACGGAAGGAGCGGGAAGACCAGATGTACCGTGAGCGGCTGCGCACCTTGTTCATCATCGCAGTGGTTATGAGCCTGCTGAATTCACTCAGCACCAGTGGAGGCAGCATTTCCTGGAGTGACTTGTCAATGAAATGCTGGCCAAAGGCGAGGTGCAGCGTGTCCAGGTGGTGCCTGAGAGTGATGTGGTGGAAGTCTATCTGCATCCTGGAGCCGTGGTGTTCGGGCGGCCTGTGAGTGAGGGTGAGGGCACTGCAGAGACTTGGAGACTCAGTACCTTCCTATTTACTTCATTCCCCCAACGCCGGCCGGCCTGGTTGTCTTCAAGATGTGTGTATCTGGGGATATAAACCAGGGTTCCTTGCAGATTTTGGGCAGTGCTTGCTAAGATGGAGCTTAAGGAAAGCAGAGAAGAGAGCTTGGCAGAAGAGGCAGCATTGGTATTGCAGTCCCACAGCTACTGTGGTAACCATTTTCTGAGGAAGATGTGGAAACAAGTGACAGATTGTTCCAAACACCAACTCCCTGGCACTGGGGGCTAAGAAGATGAGGCCACTTATAGCCCTTCTGGGTCAGTCTGGGATGTGTAATGCTGGCTGGGAAGTCAGGGGAGAGGGCTCTCTCTGCTTCCTGCTTCTTCATCCCACCTGGCTTACCTGCCCAGGTGGGACCACTGTTGCTTTCTGTAATGCCTTTCCCTTAACATTAATAAACTCTTATTACTTCCCTTACTACAAAGAAAAAAAGAGGGGGGCTTTGGCACAGGTCACACAGGCATAGGGGAGAGGAGGTGGCAAGGAGTCATCATAGGCAGCTGAGACACAGCCCTAGATGGATAGCTGACTGCACTGGCAGGTCCACATTCTGAGGGGTGGAAAGAGATGTGAGTTTGTGCAGGACTGGACATTAGGAGGAAGATGAAAGGGAGTCTGCTCACCTCCACCCCTGGTGCTTGACCCTCAGGAGCCCAATATGGGAGCAGTGCAGGAGGAGGGACAGTCAGGTGGGAGAGGGTTTGGCCTCCAAGAGGGGGACAGGCTTCCCAGGGTGACAGAGCCAGTCGGTGCCTGACAGCCTTGGTTGAGAATACCTGCTGTCTTGATTATTTACTTACTTACTTAGTGAACTCAGGACCTCACGCTTGTTAGGCAAGCACTCTACCACTTGAGCCACTCTGCCAGTCCTTTTGTGTTGGGCATTTTCAAGATAGGGTCTCGAAAACCATTTACCTGGGCTGGCTTCCAATTTTGAGCCTCCTGATTTTGCCTCCTGAGTAGCTAGGATTACAGGCCTGAGCCACCACACCCATCTTGATACTTTAAAAAGTAGAAGAAACCCACATAGATGGCAGATAAGTGCTGAGGATGACACAGTCATATAAATGCCTAGGTGTGCCTGATCGTTTTAGCCCACTAGATTATCTTAACCAGTATTACATCCAGCTTTCACAAGTCACCTAACAACACAGCTACCTTAAAGAGAAAGTGTTCAAAATTCTGTCTTAGCAATTTGGACTCTGTGTAGGGGTGCAGGTGTCATTTCCTGCCCTTATCCCTGTCCTCTGCTAGAGTTTTCAGCCTACCAGAGTGAACAGGTAAGTCTCTGTTCTCTCTGGGCTGGTAGCCATCCTTGGTCAGGCTCACATGTGTGCTAAACATGCAGAGCTTAAGTAGGGAAGCTAGTTGAAGGACAAATGCCAGGGAGACCAATAAATTGAATTTCAGGTTTTGCCACAAAACTTTTTTTTTTTTTTTTCTTTTTGTGGTACTGGGGCTTGAACTCAAGGTCAACACCTTGAGCCACTCCACCAGCCCTTTTTTGTGATGGGTTTGTTTCCAGATAGGGCCTCATTAACTATTTGCCCAGGCTGGCTTTGAACTATGATCCTCCTGATTTCTGCCTCCTGAGTAGCTAGGATTACAGGCCTGAGCCACTGGTGCCTGGCTAAAATTAAATCTGCTTTTCTTTTTTGGTGATACTGTGGGTCTTGCACTTGCTAGGCAGGCGCTGTACCACTTGAGCCACACCTCTAGCCCGCTGCCATAAAACCTTTTGCTGCAGTTTCCTGAAACATCCATTTGTGGCCTTAGTCAGTACACAGTGCCATTGCTGGTCAGTGCTGTGTCATGTTGGCATCACATCTGCCTGGTTCCCTTTGTGCTCTGGGCACAGCTGAGCTGAGGCAGGTGGTAACTGTAAGATGCAGGCACCCCTCCATTCTCTTTAAACTTTTCCTCTTGGTGGAAAGCACATCTATCAGAAAGTGTATCTCCTGAGATTGTGTTTTCAGATGTGTTTGAGAAAACTGGAACTTTTTAAATATAAAGGGGTTTTCTATATGGTGTCTGAGGGAACCCTGGTGTTGTCTGTACAGTGTGCAGCCGACCCTTCACTTGACACTGTCCTCTCTACTCTCTGCCCGCAGCGGTTGGCCTTGATGTACCGCATGCAGGTTGCAAATATCGACAAATTTGAAGAGAAACTTCGAGCAGCTGAAGATGAGCTGAATATTGAGAGCAAGGATAGGATCCCTGTTTCTTATAAGCGCACAGGGTTCTTTGGAAAGTATGTCAGTCATCTTGTGGACTCTATTTTATTTATTTATTTATTTATTTATTTATTTTCTTTGTGAAGTACTGGGGTTTGAATTCAGGGCTTTGTGCTTGGTAGGCAAGTGCTCTACTACTTGAGCCACACCTCCAGCCCAAAATTATGGTTTACCCTTTCTCTTTTCTTTTTGCAGTGTTGGGGATTAAAATAAGAACCTTCTGCATGCTAGGCAGGTGCTTTACCACTAAGCTACATCCCTAGCCCTTAAAAAAATAATCTCTAACTGCCTTTGCTTACAGTGAGCTGAGTCCCTGTGGGAGGGTCAAAGTGTGTGGGAGTGTGATATCAGGCTGGACATGTGGAAATACAAGTCATTAAAGTTTGTTCCAGTCACTTTCCTCAGTTGTCTGTGGCATTTCCTGACTGAGCACCCTGGTCACTCAGCACTTAGCATCTTCTACAGTTAAGAAAACAAAACAGACATGTGCCTATAATCCCAGCACTCAGGATTCTGAGGCAGTGGAGTCCAAGGCTGAGGCTAGCCTGTCTCAAAAAAAGAAAAGAAAATGGAGTAGAAAGGGATGAAATGGGAATGTTGATTAGAAATTTTTTCAGTGTTGAGAGAAGCCGAGACATGTAGACTCTTTTGGGCCCCTAACTAGGATCTGTGGAATGACAGGTTAATGAGTATAAATGATGTCACATCATTTAACATTGCTGGGACCAGCAGTGACTGAAACCAGCAGTTTCTTGGGGATTTGTAATCTAACATGCAGAATGCCAAGTTACTAGCAAGTACTTCTCTGTTCTACAACCTACCAGTGCTGAAAGTGCCCTGCTCTGAGCTGAGCTGTGATTTTATTGTACAAGTGACAGCAGATGGCAGAGAGATAATGGGGGTGGGGAGCAGCCCCCTTCCTCGTGTGGAAGACTGGATCCTAGGACTTAACTTTTCCTGTGATGTTTATTTTTATTAATTTATTTATTTGTTTTTGGCAGTACTGGGGCTTGAACTCAAGATCTCATGCTTGCTGGGCAAGTGACCTATCACTTGAGCCACTCCACCAACTGTTTTTTGTGTTGGGTATTTTTTTTTTTGGCAGTACTAGGGTTTGAACTCAGGACCTCACACTTGGTAGGCAGGCATTCTACTACTTGAGCCACTCCACTAGCCCTTGTATTGGTATTTTTGAGATAGGGTCTTAAAGACTGTTTGTCTGGACCGGCTTCAAACTGAGATCCTCCTGTCTCTGCTTCTTGAGTAGCTAGAATTACAGGCGTGAACCACCAGTCGGCTCCTGTGATGTTTATTTTGCCTTGCCAATTGAAACTTACACATGATACGTGGTGTGGGCACTGTCAGGGTGGGTTAGATAGCCAAGTGTCTCCAGCCTTTGCACGCTCAGTCTGACCACTTGGAAAATCTGTGTGAAGGAGGGAAAAAAGGTAGGGCATGAAAATACACTCTCCCACTATTTGCTTTATATTTCTGTCTCAGACATAGGGGTTGCATTTGAAATATCTGTGGTGGTCCTGGCCTTGTCATCAATGATTACAATGATGTGATGCAATGATGTCCAAACCCATGATTGCCTCTCTTTCTCACCTAGTGCTCTCTACGCCCTGGGAATGACAGCGGTGGGTTTGGCCATCCTGTGGTATGTTTTCCGTCTGGCTGGGATGACGGGAAGGGAAGGCGGATTCAGTGCTTTTGTAAGTTGTACAGACCAGAGCTTGCTGAATGTCCATCTCTGGATATCTCTCTCTCTCTCTCTCTCTCTCTCTCTCTCTCTCTCTCTCTCTCTCTGTGTGTGTGTGTGTGTGTGTGTGTGTGTTTGCTGAAGCCTTCTCCATAGCCTATGGAACAAGTACCCAGTGAAAATTAGCTTTTGCAAAGGTCAGCCAGAAGCCACAGCTGGCAGCCCATCCCTCCTGCTTTCTGACAGGAGAGTATGGAGCAGTGACCTGAGTAGAGGGCCTCTCTCCCAGTGAGTATATAGGGAGCTTTATTCTGCAGAATCTGTGAATTGCACCTTTTTTTTTTTTCTTGGTTTCTCCTACTAGCTAATAAGCTGAGAAATTTTAAAGGTATCTTTTTTAAAGAAAAGCCAAAACACACTAGAACTCTTTTCATACTGCTGGACATTTCTTAGGAAGTACACCTCTCCCATTTCTTCCCACCCTCAGGTTTGGGCTGTGAGGTATGTGCCTCACAAGCAACTCTTGCTCTACCCTGGGAGTGTCTTTTTGTTTTGTCCACTGAGAGTGACCATAGCTAGTGTGCATGGTTTTTGTTTTTGTCGTTGGTTTTTTTTGTGGTGTGGGGATCAAACCCAGGACCTTCATGCATGCTAAGAAAGTACTCTCCCACCCCCAGCCCATTCTTCACTTATTTTTGGTGATAGGGCTCAAATCCAGAGCCTGGTACATACTCTAGCACTGAGCTATGCCCCCAGCCCACACTGTTTGCTTTGTCTATTTGTTTGTTTTTTATTTGTTTTGCGGTACTGGGTTTGAACTCGGCCTCACATTTGCTAGGCAAGCACTCTACCAGTAGAGCCTTACCCTTAGCCCTTCCACTATTAGTTTTATTTATTTATATAACTTTTGGTGCTACTGGAATTTGAACTCAGGGCCTCACACTTTCTAGACAGGCGCTCTACCTCTTGAACCACTCCTCCAGTCCTGTTTTTTGGGTTGGGTATTTTCAAGATAGGGTCTCAAACCTGATCTCACATTAACTCCTGAGTAGCAAGGATTACAGGCATGAGCCACTGGTGCCTGGCCACACTGTTATTTTTAATGACAGCATGGTGTTTTGTTGTGAACCATATTTTGTTCAACCAGTTGCTTCATTTTTGCATGTTTTGAGTGCCTGCCTGATTAATTGCTTTGCAGGTCTTCCTAAAAGTAAGATCTGATTGATGATATGCCTTTTCCCATTGCTCTCAGAAGTTCCCAGCTCATTTTTCTACCAACACTTTGCAAGATGGACTACTACTACTGCGTTACTTTTTTACTCAGAAGAAGGAATTACACAGGATTGGGGAAAATCATATAGAAAAGCACAGCTAATGGAAAAGGCAGTAAATTAACTACTTTGTATGGGAGAGTTTCTTACTGGTTTGGTTTGGTGTTCTTTTGTTTTGTTTATTCTGTGTTGCTAAAGATCAAACCCAAGGCCTTGTGCATGCTAGGCAAGGCTTTACCACTGAGCACCCCAGCCTTGGGGAGAGTTTTTTTAAGGCACATCGTTAGATAACTTTCTTACTGACAAACAGCATAAAAGGTTTTCCCTTGCGAGTCTGAAGAGTGGCCCATGAGACGCAGCAGCTACCAACTGCACAGCTCCCTGTCCTTGACTCTTTCTGCACAGAATCAGCTTAAAATGGCTCGTTTCACAATTGTGGATGGGAAGACAGGGAAAGGAGTCAGCTTCAAAGACGTAGCAGGAATGCATGAAGCCAAACTTGAAGTCCGAGAGTTTGTGGATTATCTAAAGGTGAGAGCTCTGTGTTGAACTAGAGGAAGGGGTGAGTGGGCGGCTGGCCTTCCTCTCTCCCAGCAGGAAGCCTAGGTAAGCAGAGCCTGGGGGCTGGAATGCCTTGGATTGGATGTGTGTTGAGGATGACTCCCTATCTGATGGAGAACCATGCTTGTGCCTGTGCTTGGTACACCAACAACACAAGCCCAGTGCACAGCTGTGAGTAGAGTAGAGGGGTGGTAATGGTGCTTCGCTGACTGTACCATCAGCTGGCACAGACACTTGAACCCTGGCAAAGCTCTATGCTTTCTCAAGCCCCACTGGAACCATAGCTGATCCATGGCAGCTATGTGAACTGTCCTTCATGTGAGTCACATGACATGCTCTGTGAGACACCGGGTGGTGAGTGTTACATGTCTGCTACTGTCTAGAGTCCAGAGCGCTTCCTGCAGCTTGGTGCCAAGGTTCCAAAGGGCGCGCTGTTGCTTGGACCCCCTGGCTGTGGGAAGACGTTGCTAGCCAAGGCAGTGGCTACGGAGGCCCAGGTGCCCTTCTTGGCGATGGCTGGCCCGGAGTTTGTGGAGGTCATTGGAGGTAGGTGGACCAGCTCATTGGTCATGTGTCTGGGATAGCACACATCTTCCTCAGGGGACAGAATTGAAGTGGAGTCTAGAGAAGGACAAATGCAACCCAAGTTGAAGGAAGTTTTGGTGTGCATTGGTCTGGGTGGTCATGTGGTTTGACACCACTTTCAGCTGTGACTTGAAGGGACTGAAACAGTGAGTACCTGGCCACTGCTGCTTTGTCTGCGGGAGGCCTGCTGAGGTTTAGGTGTCCTTGGTGGACAACTTCCCCTGGACTTGGCAAAGAATAGGGTATGTTTCCCTTTTTCCGATCTCTCTGTGTCCCCCAGGCCTTGGTGCTGCCCGTGTACGCAGTCTCTTCAAGGAAGCCCGTGCCCGGGCCCCCTGTATAGTGTACATTGACGAGATTGATGCCGTGGGCAAGAAGCGCTCCACCTCCATGTCCGGCTTCTCCAACACAGAGGAGGAACAGACCCTCAACCAGCTCTTGGTGGAGATGGATGGTCAGTTTCCAGCATGCTCCTCCCTCACTGCATACCTAGAGGACACTCTGATCCCTTTTAGAGTAGATGATGTTGCTCACTTTTTGTGTTCCGGTGCCTGGGTCAACTTGTGAGAGGTTTGATTTTCTCATTTGCTGGTGTGTATTGCTGTTCACCTCCTCCTGCCAGGTGAGGACATTTCCAGAGGATGTGTGTGGACAGCAGATTATGAGAAGCCTATGAGAACTGGACATAGCAGGGCAAGATGCAGATCAGCTGCTTTTCCTAAGATGTTTATCTGTAGGCTGAGATTGGCACAGCCCCAGCCACAGAAGAGGGAAATGCAGAACAGCTGCTTCTCCTAAGTTGTTTCACAGAAGCAGGAATGCAGGTTTCTCCTGTTACAGTGTCACGCCCTTCCCGGAGAACTGCTGCTCCACCCTGTTTACCACTGGGTGTAAAAGACTCACTGAAGGAGGACAGGAGGCTTTTTGCTTTGGGGGCTTTTGCTTTGGACTTTGGCTTTTGGCTTTTGGGCTTTTGGCTTTTTGGTGTGGGAGGCTTTTGGAAGGGAAAAGGGTTACTGAAGGGGAATTGCTAAAGAGGGGTTGATAGAAAGTCTGCACTGAGAACTTTATATATAGGCTTTAAAAAAGCTATTCTAAAGAAAAGCTAAAGAGAACATGGGACAGTGCAAGTCTGAGCACCAAGGCTTTAAGAAAGTTAAAGAGAAAACATGGGACAGAGCAAGTCTAAGGAAAGAGGTTTTAAAGAATAGTGAAGCAAAGTTTTAAAGAAGACTTTTAGAAACAAGATTTAAAGAATTGTAAAGGAGTAAGGCCTTAAGGAGTAAAGATAGAGAAAAGAAGCAGAGCAAAATGAAGAGAATAATAGCAAAAAGAAGCAACACACCTGGCCCCAACTTTCTGTCTGTTTGTCTATCCTGTGTCCTTTCTGCATCTCCTATTGCCACCCAATTAGCCCCAGTTAGGTTCAGTAATAAGCAGGAACAAGAGAAAGCTCATTCCAACAAGGAAGTGAGAGAAAAAGCTCGCTCCACCAAGAAGACACTGACCCCTTTTAGGGTAGATGATGTTGCTCATTTTTTGTGTTCCGGTGTCTGGAACACTTGTGAGAGGTTTGATTTTCTCATTTGCTGGTGTGTATTGCTGTTTACCTCCACCTGCCAGGTGAGGGCATTTCCCAGAGGATGTTATCTAGCTTTTGACACCTAACAGCAAATCAGATCAAGTACCATCCAGCACAGAAAGACAAACAAGGACTGCGAGTTGTGGTCAACCAGCGACCAAGCCTCTAAGGACAGGGTCTCATTATTTAGCCTAGGCTGGCCTCAAACTCACCATTCTTTTGCCTCAGCCTATTTATTTGTTTATTTATTTATTTTATTTATGCACTCACAGTACTGGGATTTGAACTCACGGCTTAACACCTTGAGCCACTCCACCAGCCCTTTTTTTGATGGGTTTTTTTGAGATAAGGTCTCACGAACTGTTTGCTCAGGCTGGCCTCAAACTGTGATCCTCCTGATCTCTGCCTTCTGAGTAGCTAGGATTACAGGTGTGAGCCACCGGCACCTGGTTCCTCAGCCTCATGAGTGCTGGGATTGCAAGTATGCTCCACCATGCCTGGCCACAAGTTCCATTTTTAACTATTCTTTAATCAGAATTTCTAGGTTTTAGGTTTGCAGATTAGATACTTTTCTCAAGGCATTTTTAGTTCTGGGAAAAACACTTAACCTGTAAATTTTCTTAAGTGCTGTTTGCTGTCTAGTAGCTGGCACACAGTGAGTTGATTGCACAAGTCTAAGGTGAAACTTCTCCAACCTTGTTTTGAAATAATTTGGACTTAGGAAAACTTTGCAAAGCTAGTCAAGGTTTGTCTGTCTCCCAGCTGCCAGGCCCAGGATGTGACATCCACCATGGATCCACTGCCCTTTGTTCAGGCCAGTACGGCCTCATTCACATGGTGCATTTTGTTTCCTGGCTCCTGGTCTCCTCCAGCCCTTTCTTCAGTTTTTTGCAGGCAGTCAGGGGAAGACATCCTTTCCATAGGGCTAGGGTGTTCTCAGGGTCAGGCTGAGGCACACATTTTGACAGGAACAGTGCAGCAGTGTCGTGGTGCTCAGCACCACAACAAACCTCTTCTGTGATGATAGAGTCTGTGGTGGGCTGGCTCTCTCCTCACTGGGTCTCAGCCGGGTCTTTAACCAAGTGACCACTCTTAGCTGTTGTGACGTAGATGGACTTATGGTGTGGAAGTATTTCATAAGCTGGAGAAAAAGCCCCACGGTAGCACATGGGACCAATGTACTACCTACTGTGCTAACAAGTCACTTCATGCTCGGGGCTTAAAAAATCAAGCTGTAATCCTGAAGAGTGGAGAAGGCTGCACTGTTGAGCGCCATGAGAATGGTTTGTGACTGCATCTTCCCCACACGCCTCCTGCTTCCTCTGTCTTACCCAGTCGTCCATCAGCACGTTAGTTCTGAGCAGCCAACCCCTCAACCGCTGTCTTGCACACTGACAAGTACTCATGGGAGTCAAGGGCTTAAGAACTGAATGTCTTGCAAGATGTTGTGAAGTGGTTCCAGTACTGAGGTGCTGCTGTTAAGAGCAGGGGCTCCTAGGTGCCCTTCAGAGGCACTTTCCAGACTAGGCCCAGGGGCCTGGAGGTTCCATCTGTGCCCCACGTTCTTCTGGGGAGCAGGTGCTGGGCTTGGTTCTGCTGGACCTCCATTCAGCCTGGGAGAGCTGGGTCTACTTGTCAAGTAGCAGTTCGTGGTCCTTGTTCAGAAAAGCAGTTCTGGAGTCTTTCCCTACCTTTCAGTCCTCCTCTGAGTGTGTGCAGGTTATCTCCCAGATGCTGTGTCAGTGACTCTACTGACTTATGGCAGTTTCTCCAGGACAAGCAGGTGGCTTTGGACTCATGAAGAAACTTAGAAGACAGCTTAGGTTCTGGCCATCAGGGTCTCATGACTAGCAACAGGTTGAGTGGGGAGGTGGCCATGTTGGGTCAGGCTGTAGAGCGCAGGTGCACTGAAGTCTGCCAGTCAGCTGTGACACAGTGCCTGGGACCTGCTATGGTGCCAGACTCAGAGAATGGACAACTTTGTGGCACTGACTGGACAGGGGAGAGCAGTCTTCAGATGACTAGCTGGCCATCCAGATCCTGACCCTTCCTTTATGTTTCACAGTGGTGGAGGGGGAGTGATTTTCACACTTGTCCTCAGGCTCCCATGGACTTAACTCTGCGTAGCCTCACAATGGCCCCTCGTAACTCAGTTATGGCATTCTGGGTTGTGAAGTGAGATTGAACCCATTTCCCGTCTGTGGTTCTGTGACCCTCTTTATGTTGAACGGGTGTCTCTCCAGGAGAGCATGAAGGAACCTCAAGTGAAACCTTCCTGCCTGGCTCTTTTTTTTTCCTCTCAAAACAAGTTTTATTTAAACAAGGCTTTGAATGTGTTACGTAATGTGAAAACTGGAAGGGAAAAGAAAAACAAGTAACCAGTTTGTCACTTTGGTGGCTGCTGTGGAGCTGCGTCAGTCCTTCTGCTTATGTCGCATGCAGACCAAGAGAACCCTTTTCAGCACACTTAAGCCCATGAGGAAACATTTATCACAGAACATTTCTTCTGCTTTGAGCCTCTGTATACCACCACAAAAATAGCTGCTTCCACCTTAGCATTGGTTCCTGCCTGGCAACCCGCTGTTGCAGGCCACGTGCAGAGCTGGGCCAGCACCAACAAGACCCTTTGTACCTCACAGCTGTGCACACTCGGCCCTGAGGCGAGTCTTTGTTGGCTGCTCCGGAAGAGCAGTTTTGGCCCATTGAAGTGCACGGAGGGAGCGTAGCAGATGCCAGGCTGGTCTTGAGAACAACTCACCAAGAAAAGGAGAAATCCCAGCCTCGAAGGCCTCCACACAGGCACTGTGGATGTCTGTGTGATTGCCAGGACATGCAGCAGGGCCCGGGGCAGAGAGCTCGGCCTGCCCACCTACTCACTGCACAGTCACCTGGCTGCAGGTTCGTGGGAAAGAGAGGGTGTTGCACAGAAGTGCTCTCCTGTGACATATCTCTAAGCCCTTGTTTTGGGGAACAGTAATGCAGGGCCATGAGCTCTTGATTCCACATGGGAGTTACTAGAAAATCGCAACAGGGCTGGGGGTGTAGTGCAGTGGTAGAGGGCTTGCTTAGCATGCACAAGACTCTAGATCAGATCTCTAGCACTGCATACACCCAAAAATCACGCACATAGGGCTGGTGGGGGCCTAAGTGATAGAGTACCTGACTAAGTAAGCATGACAGTATGAGGCCCTGAGTTCAAGCATCAGTACCTTAAAAAAAAAAAAAAAAAAACACACCCACATACATAATCACCCCAGTTTACATGCTCTTCTGGAGCATGGTTACCCCAAACAATGGAAGTCAAGCAGATAAGCCCTGATGAGCAGACTTGGAGCCAAATGTGAAATAAGCTGTTTTGAAACTTATGCTACATCTGCAGTAAAGCCAAGTGTGGTGGGTTGGGGCACACCTTTATTCCCAGCAGCTGGATGTTAAGGCAGGATTGAGCATTCAAGGCCAGCCTGAAGTACATAGCAAGACCCTGCCTTAAAAACAAAACAAAAACAAGCAATACTAAAAAGCAGTCTGTGTGTTTGCCATGGGCTTTTAGTGCATCCAGGCAGCCAGCGTGGGAGTGTCTAGTAGGGCCTAAATAGCTCATGCCATCCCTACCTGTCCTCTTTGTGGCCATGAGTCTCTCGCATAGCTGTGGCAGCCCTGACAGCCCTGTCACGGCTGTGAACACTTGACTGGAACAGGCACAACCTGGGATCCTGGTGTCATGTCACACCTGCGAGCAAAGTGGTCATGTCCAGTAGTGCGTATCAGCCCCCACGGGGTCACCAATGCTGCTGCCAGGTCAGATCATCGGCCAGCACCCAGGCAGCTCCAGTGTGTGGCCAGGCTCAAGAGCACTGGAGCTCTACTGGTGT